CTGTTTTTCTAGCCATGAGCAATGCACTTTTGGAAGTTTGTGATGAGTGGACATCATTTTTGGAGTGGTATACTGTGTTGTTGTATGACAGAGCGTAACAAAAAAATGTCAATGAAGCCCTTAAGCAGTTTTTACTCGCAAAGGACAACAGTTTGATTCTTTCCCATCAACACGAGCAGCAATGGTCCAATATGTCCACTGTACAATCTAACAGGGTGGTACGCGTAGGTACAGGAGCTTGCGTAAATTCCTTTCCTTCCACGTCTGCAAGACTAAAGATAGATCTTAGATTGAAACAAATATCGGCCCTTGAGGACAACATTACCAGAAATGATGAAGTCATGTCATCATTTGGTTAAGTGTGGTGGCAAAAGTGTTTGTCATGGACGTTGTGATTGCTACATGGTCAATTTGAGTTGTACAGCTCTTTCCAAGTGTCTTGAGGATTGCGGAAACAGATTATTTAATAAGGATTTGTCCATCATTCGGTAACAATTTCATGCTTTACTTTTTAAACAGGTTTTTAACCAAGTGCTGAATACGTGCCTCTCTGTATACGTTGCTCAGATATACTCAGACATGAGCACTCAGATATACTCATACACGGGCACCATCAAAATATAGTGTTCCTATTGGAGCACGTTCCTGAACACCATGCCCGGGCACTCAGTATCTGAACACATTATAATAAGCTTCACAAACGAAATAAAACAAATTTTGTATATTTGATGATTACTGATAAAATTCTTAAAATCAGCTTTGCTATATTGGGAACAACAATCTTATTCTGCAACCTTCTTTTGCCGCACCCCACCGCACTTTTCAAATTTCTCCGCGGTCTGGAGAGTTATGTTACAAAGAACATTTTCAAGATTCAAATGTTAAGGATTAATGTTTATAAGAAATACGGAAAACGTTTTTGTCATATTTAGTCATGTTCTTTATGACATGAAATAACTCCGCAATAAACTGATTCTAGTTACCTCATAATTAATTTTAATTGCGTGTAAGAAAAGAGTTTTAGACAGAAACCGAACGTCGTATATTATGAACTTTTGTCCAATGATTCTAGTCAGTACCTGTTTTGTGATTACTAGAATTATTTGATTGCAATGGTCAATCTGAGCGATACTTTTTAAGAACAATTTGCTTTTTTTGATATTTGCCGAAACTCCCTAGAATAATTTTGACCAATATTTTGACTTTCAGTTCAAGGTGGCTGCCATTTTAAGAACACCCTCGAAAAAGCACTAAGCACGTAATTTTGAGATTGTACAACATCAAAATTTTGATCATTACCACAAGAACTATCTTCATACAAGTTTTAGTGCTTTTAACTGAAAACGAACATATTTTGCACATATCTGCTGCACTATGTTTGAAAATTTACATTTTATATACACAATAAGTATATACATAATAAACAGGCGTGGTAATTTTTTGTGTTTTGTTTGACAAACTATTTAGTAGTTGACACTGTTTAAGCTTTTAGGTTTTTATGTTTAAAGGTCTGACAATTTAAATGTCTGATGTATTTTTTAATTTAAAATGAGGCTTATTATTTTGTTTGTGCCACGGAATTCAATCATCTTAAGAATAGACTGTAACGTATAGCAAAGATAAAGCTTATAATTTTTTTTGTATTTTTTTTCATTTTAATTTTTTCGTGCAAATGGATACCAAAAATTGTAAATTTTAGTGAATTATCATAAAGTATGCTTACAATAAGACTCTATGAATGTTTGACTTTTCTGCAGTGCACATATTTTGAATTGTATTGCTAAAGTCGATTGCAAAGCAAAAGCAATTTGATTCAACATTTCGATATCAGCAAGAGAGATACATTGCATACTGAAAGCTGGAATACAAATAACTGTCCTCTTATTCCATGTTAATGACTTTATAGTTCGTGCATATTTATTTTGTTATTTTCTGTCATATTGATTGTTCCTACAACACATCAGAAAAACCTTGTAAAAACTTTGAAATGAAAATACTGTAAAATGTCATAAAACATATCACATCAAAAGCGTTATAAATACTTTAAAATCAAAAATAGAAGTAATATCCTTTTATGAAGATGATTAGAAAGAGTGATTTCAATTTATATTAGCACATCAGCGTGAGACAAACGATATTTAACCAAAGCTCGAATAAAAAAAATAATTTAATATTATTCTATTCTGTGTCAATGAAATGATGAAAAGAGTTTAAGCACATTTTTTTTATCTTTGTCATTTCGATTACACTAACAACAAATTAAAATCAATATAAAAACTTTAAAATCAAAATACTATTACTCCTAATATCATAAAACAATTATAATATAACTATAATTAGCAAAAATCTAAATTCAGGAATCATAAATTCGACAAGGAAAATACATTTAGAGCGATTATAAGCAAGGCCAATTTGCTGATCAATATTTCTATACTTCTATAAGTAGAATTGCAACTTCGAAATTAATTTGCTTCGTCAGCTATATGTCATTTAATACCATCACAATGTTGAAATAAGACTTTGGACGGAGCGACTAATAAACAAAAATAGCAGTTTATCTTCCTTAACCAACACATCACCACAAAATTACCTTGTTTTCTTAGATGAGAGCGATTTTTTTTGGTGAGCAATCTGTTGTTGTTTGTCTTTGTAACTGCGTTTGATTGATGTACAATAACAGAATTACATACGGGTTATTTATAGAAGATTCTTTTTACGGCATTGTAGAGCGACACTTAAATTTTTTCAAAGTGTATAAATGACTTACTAGATGGTAAATAAGTTACATATATGATTACATTTATGCATCATAAGCGCGAATGACAGTTAAGTGTATCTTGTCTTTAAAACCTTTTACTTTTTAAAGGCTTAAACTTAGAGATTTGAAAATAAAACGTTCTTAGAACTTAGCAATCATCTGTATTCTTTGAGTTAATAACAAGTAAATTATTTTGTGCCACGGAATTTGAATAATCTAAAGAATAGATTGTTATGTAAAGCAAAGATATGCTTATGATTTTGTTGTTGCCTATATATTTTATAACAATGATTTTTAGGAAATTTATAAATAGCTACAAAAGTTGTATATATCGCATGCATTATAACAAAATTCTGGCTTAATACTATATGGCTCTTTAAGCATTTGACATTTTTTGCTCATATATAGGTATAGGAAGATTGATAATTGTGGGAGGGGCTCATATTCAAATATGCACGTTATAATCCTTAGAGAGCCATCTACTTCAATGGAAATTAATAATTTTTACTATTTATATATGAATATTAGCCCTTCTCTCATTCACATTATAGGGATATACAGTAGGTCCACTTCGTGTGTCATTGGCTGCTGTTTATTTAATTAGATTACTAGCTGCCGTTAGCTGTTACATCATTTCTATTGGTCAAAAAAAGCAATTGGCTGACTTTGACTATGTTAATCGCATGGGTAATTTGGTAAAAAGGTATGCGTGGCACGAAAAAATTCAATGGAGTGGCCCTAATGTATATTCACTACACTGTATCTCAATTATCGACTTTCTACACCCATACGGTCATACTTTTTTTGAAGTCAAATGCAAATGATGAAGTCTTGTTATGAGCAGATAGTAAAAAACTCATTTCTCAACTTTGCTCCTTTGTTATACCTGATAGAGTTTGTGGCAAGTATCTGACGTAATATTCTGTTTCTAAATTTTAAAAATCGAAGGACGCTTGTAAAAGCTAATTGTTGTCAGTGACTTTTAAATGAAGTCAAAATACAATTACAAGAAAACAACTTTTTCTTAAATAAACACTCAAATTTTGCGTTCGTATGAATGTTGTCGGAATTGTCATCAGGAAAAGGATTTTTTATAAAAATATTCGTGTGTTTATGTTTATTATTTAAATTTCATTGGCTACTTAAAAATTTACAACATCATTTCAGTCTATCATTGTTTGTAACAATTTTTACTATTTACATAAATGTTATAAAATTAACAAAACAAACAAATGAAAATTGTCTATCTAAAAATCAAACAATACTTTTACTTTACAAAATGAAGTAAAATGAAGGTACGTTTCCATGAAATGAAAGTTCCAAAATGCACATAAATTATTCATTTACTGTAAAGTAAATAAAAAAATTATAATCTTTTTAGCTAGAGGTGGAATTTTACGAAGTAAAATATAAGTGGCTTGCGTACCTACAGCGTACCTAGTACAATTTGCGCAAACAAAAGAAAATCATGGCTATATTACTCATAAATTAGATGTCGATAACAGGTATGCATCAGGCTTGGACTGCTCTACTAGCAATTGCATGCGCTATAGCATATGAGCCCATTGTAAGGCCCCCTTACTGAGAAATAAAAATTAAAGCAGGCAAACGGGCATTGCACAAACTAACATTTAAAAGTACTTTTGAGAGGTGTCGAAGTCATTGGAAATGGATTAACTGTTCTTTTTACAACACTGAATTATTTTGCAAAGTTAAAAACAGCTTAGGGTAGCTAAATTCTGCAGAAATTGTTGTTTATAACAATATATTATCACAAAACATTTTGGGTATACTTTTTATGGTCCCCCCTAATAGTAAAAAGCTAAAGGGCCTTAAATTGAAGCAAGTCAGAGCCCAGTACACCACTGCAAACGAATGTTTTCTTAAGAGACAATGGTTGGCCAAGCTTAAGTACTAGGCCTTTCCGTTTGCAAACTACGTTGTTAGTGTTCAATCTTAAGTATTCAGTAAGTTTACAGTTCTCACTTTTTAAGGCTTCACTAAAATATTTTGTGCCTTGATTACTAATTTTGTAAGCAGAAAAGTACACTTCCGTAAGTTTACAATTTTCATTTTCAAAGCTTCAATAAGAAATTTAGCGCGTTCATCACCTTTATTGTTGTCAATAAAGATTCAATTGAGTAAGTTTACAATTCTCACTTTTCAATGCTTCACTAAGATATTTTGCACCTTTATCACCTATATTGTTATATTCAAGAGACAATTCAGTAAGTTTACAATTCTCACTTTTCAAAGCTTCACTAAGAGATTTCGCACCTTCGCCTTCTATACTGTTAGAACTAAGACCCAATTCAGTAAGTTTACAATTCTTACTTTTTAAAGCTTCACTAAGATATTTTCCACCTTCATCACCTATTTTGTTGTTTGAAAGTTTTAAGTTAGTAAGTTTACAATTCTCACTTTTCAAAGCTTCACTAAGATATTTAGCGCCTTCATCACCTATCTTGTTGTCATGAAGATCCAATTCAGTAAATTTACAATTCTCGCTTTGCAATGCTTCACTAAGATATTTAGCACCTTCATCACCAACATCGTTTTTATAAATATCCAATTGAGTAAGTTTACAATTCTCACTTTTCAAAGCTTCACTAAGATATTTAGCACCTTCATCACCTATTTCGTTAGTTTCAAGATCTAATTTAGTAAGTTTACAATTCTCACTTTTTAAAGCTTCACTAAGATATTTAGCGCCTTGATTACCTATATTGCTATCCATAATAAGCAATTCAGTAAGTATACAATTCTCATTTTTCAAAGCTTCACTAAGATATTTCGCGCATTCATAACCTAAATCGTGGTCTTTAATACCTAAATCCGCAATTTTACAATTCTCAAATTTCATTGCTTCACTAAGATATTTAGCACCTTCATTTTCTAGATTAATCAAGTTCCTAGATGCAGTGAATGTAAAGTTACCACATTTTAAAGTTTCACTGAGATATTTCAAAAAATAACGACTAAAATCACATAAATCAAAACGCAAAGAGAGTAATTTGTCGCCTGTCCAGTTTAATAAAAACTTTTTCATTGCAAGGCAGACATGATTATCAATAAACTCACACGAATGAAACACAACTTCATTTATGTGTTTGCATTCAGAAAGAAATTCGAAAAATGCTTTCGAATCAACAGGAGTAAAAGAAACATCTTCAATCTTCATTTCTCGAGAATAATTCTTATTTAGTTGTGTACATGCTGACCTGATGACATCTTTGTCTTGCAACTCGTATAAGCACTTTACTCCCAGAAAACCAATTGCTTTATTGCCGTCATTGGAAAAGAAATGTGAGATCCAAAATGTAAACCTGCAAATGTTAAATACAAAAGTTTTTTATAAACCAATCGTTCATCAAAGACTTAATACTTGCGTACGTATTGTGGCATAATAAGCAATTAGCTAGCTGATGCAGATTATTCTCTTTGTGGTCGAGCACAGCTAGAAAGGGTACATCTTATTTGAATTGTTCGGTAAGTAAAAAACTGCACACTGTTTTAAAGTCGATGAAGTAGACTTAATTACAGTCTTTAGCTTAATAGTAGAAAGTAAAAATTCCTCTATTTGTTTCTAAAACCAAGTCGATCAAACTTAAATCAAGATATATTTACTAATTAAAGATTATTCGGTTTTTAACTCTTTCGTTTTTTTTCCAGCTGGAAAAGTTTGCGTCGTGTTTTTGTTTATTTTATAGCTAGTGCGATGCGTTTATCCGTTTCAACTAAAAATCTTGTCAAATCAGGAGAAACGTAGAATGAAGAAAGCATTTAAATAGTTTTAATGATATATTGTACATGTAATGTTTTCATGTCTTGTGCGTCATAGTGCATGTTGCAACACTAACTTAACTGAGCCGAAACTATGTACAGAAATAAGAAAAGCAATTTAGCCAGTCAAGTGATTATTTGATATAGATTGCTAACAATCAAATAATTCTATTTTACAGACTCCTTGCTTAACTGCTAAACCTCGTGAAATGAACACATTTGTCTAAATCATCATATTACAAATTTAGGTTCTAGCCTGTAATTGCATCATTCATACAAAATATTTATGATTGCATAACAATAATAAATTATGGTATAATATTACATATATTTACTTCAATGTAAGAGCCTTGTCCTGATCGTCAAAATCGTTATTTGCCACATACTTATTACTTCCCCATAATTCGGCTGAAAGCGTTGTGTGGCGTAAATAATACACAACAGATGTTATAAATTTTGCACCCAACGCTATAAATTAAGTAAGAGGCCTTAGCCTTTATACTTTTTTTAGGTTGCTGCGTCAATGATAACAGCGTCAGCTTCAAAGTGCAAATTTAGTAAAAAAAGGCAGAAACACTGTTTTTAAACAGACAGACCTCTTTTGAAACCCAGCGACATTTTCAAAACTGAAACAACTCTCTGCAGAAGAGCATGAAGCTATGCCTTATATAATTACATGCCAGCTTTATATAAACAGCTGCGATTTCCTATTACAATCCAACAAGCAAACTGTGCATATGTAGTAGACGTAGTTAGTGTTCCTGCACTTCCTGTCCAGCAGGACTAAAATCTTTGTAAACAAATTTCATCGAGGACAATAACCTAAACTACACTTGAAAGAAAAATAAAGACCCTACCGTTGTTCAACATCTTCTATTGTTTTAGTATCTCTGATGCTGCCAGATCTCTTCTTGTCTCCAAATAAACCAGCAACAAACTCTATTACCAAATGCCATTTAGGATCAGACACATTATTATCCAAAAACTTCCCGATGTTTTGCCAATCATCAACAATACACCATGCAGCGAAGAACTCTTGAAGAGTCAAATGAATAAAACAATAAAGATTGCGTCGTCTATCTGGTAATTGATGAAAGAAACCGCAATTTGCCCGATGCGAAAAATTCGAGAGACTTGGTTCTTCAAAAATCAAACTCTCTTTCGCAATGCCGTCTTTTGCAAGGCTTTTCATTATCTTCAGGTCATTGTCAAGTTCTTCCGGTAAATCTTTGAGAAGATAATTCTTTGGTGATGATATACTTTTAAAATCTGGATGGTGCTTCCGAAGTAAGATTTTAACTGCTCTTTTGTACAATTCAGTTGTAGTTTTTGGAATATCTTTTGCGTCGTTTCTAAAGCATTCTTTCAGGGTCAGACAGACAATGTAAGCGTTGACGGGGATATAGCACAAGCTACGAAGTTCGATAGAATTATCAATGCAGTTCAAGATCAGCTCGGTAGATTCCTTATCGTTACCACAAAACTTGTGAACATATTCTTTAATTTGATCTTCAAAAAACCCCAAGATCTCCACTGTCCTCTTAAATTTCAAAAGTTTAAATGCAAATTCAGCGGTTGGTCGTGATGTTATTAGAACAGTGGCACCTGGCAACAGTTTACCTTTAATCAACATACTTAACACTGTAAATGCTGGCATTTTTTCTTTAGCAAACACTGGGCCTTTAGTTTCAAGATTTTTTTCATCCAATGGAAGCTCATCAAGACCGTCAATGATAAGAACGGTTTTTTCTGGATTTGACATTATCAATTCGTAATCTGGATATGGCAATCCCTCATCACACAACATTTCTTGAAGAGTAATGTCAACATTTTTAATCGCACGACATCGGATCAAATGAACGTGCTTATCTCGCCAATAATTATCTGTATTGTTTTTCCATTCATGCATAAGTTTTTTTGTTAACATTGTTTTACCAATTCCTGGCCTTCCAATGACTAAAATAGAACGTGGATACGATGTTTCTTTCTCACCCTGGATTGGCTTAAAAATTTCGGTCACCATTTTCAATTGTCTAGCACCATGTCTAATTTCTAGATGACATTGAAAGATTTCATGTCTTTTATATTTTTTGGGATAAGCATTCTTTAATTCTCTTTCTGCTTGCATAATGACATTGACATAAATCTCCTCAAACTTTAATGGACGGTTATGATCATCCCCAAAGTCCTCATTTGTTTGAACGTCTTCGTTGCTGTCAAAATTTTCTTTTTGTTTTTCCAAAAATGTTTCAAATCTTTCACGTTTTCGTAACAAATAAACTTCACAAAATTCTCTTGATGTTGTAAATAACCTGTACTTCCAGGCTACAATCGTCAAATAAGACAGCTCTAAGATTGTCAGTATTATAAAAACGACATCAACAGACGCAACAAATTGAATTAACGTCTTACTTTTATCAGCGTTGAGATTTTGACAAGCAAGTAATATGACGTCGTATGAGATGGGTATAGTGTGATTTAATGAGGTTGCTTCTTTCAATTTAGGTTGCCATGAACAAGAGTAATCGATAGGAAACTTCGCTGAAAAAAGTAATCCAACGAATACGGATAATATAATGAGGCGAACAACCAAATGAACGACGTAAATGTAAAATGTAGAAAATCGAAATGTAACGCTTTCAGATTTATAATTGTCTTCACCATGATAACCAACATGTAGAGGTTTACTTTCCCCATCATTGTTTGCTGGATCGGATTGACCATAATGCTCGACTCGACGTTTTACATAATATCCATAAACCATACTCCAAATTAAGACAATACCAATATTTAAGCACACCACAAGAAAAATTACATACTTGAAATTTAGCTCATCTTTGTATTGTCTGAAACATCTTGATTCAATGGTTTTGATGAGAGAATTGTCATTGTTTTTTGACAATTTCTCATTATAACAATTAAAAGAGAGATCATTATATAAATTTAATGAAATACCAGAGACGATGAAGCCAAATATAACAAAGATAATCAATATTAATCTTCCAAACCAGTTAAAACTTTTCCATGGTATATATTCAAGACACTTCTCGATCATTTTTGTATCCCTTAAATCAATGAATTGAACTTGAATTAACACAAATCTAAAAATCATTATATATTCAGCACTTAGCGAATCAACAAAAGCATTTTTGCTGAACGGTTGAAAGGAAAGAAATACTTAAATATCCTCTTCTCATAAGTGAATGATGCGATAAAAAGGAAAATGAACAATTTAAGAACTTAAATTTGTTAAGCGAATACGTTAAAGAAGACCAAAAACAAATTTTTTAAAATTTCGTCAAGAGAAAAAAGAAAAACATAAGGTGGCCCATAAGGGTCATAGAAACGTAATAGTAAAAAAATTACAACAACAAAACAAAAGTTCACACCACAAACCTAACAATCACGATGCCATTTTGAAATTTGAGAGCAAAATATTAAAATATGGTGGTTTCTTCTGTGTGCTCTTAACACTTATTGTCTTAATTGTTACAAGTTTTTTTCGATTTTCGAAAAATTCATAAAGATACACGAAATAAAACACCAAGCGATGTTTTCCACTTCTCCCAAGATCATAAATAAGTTTAATGATTTTAAAAAACAAGATCTAAAAAACTAATTTAGGCTCGTTGAGCCAAAACTGCCTTTTCTGTTAATAACACAGCGTTTCTGCATGTCTCGTTTTTCATTCGTTCTATCTAATGCATTATTTAAACATATATTTATTCGTTGTAACAAACTCTGAACTGCTGGTTAGTCATAGTGAATGATAATTGAGTGGTTCTTAAAAAAAAGGAACTTCCCTTCAAGTTTTCTGGTTCATACAGAACAAAACTTTGCTCCAAGCCTTACTAAATTTATTCACGACAATGTCGACTAGAAAAGGTTTTTGAACCGTCTGTCATTCATTGCACTGTAGCTTAAACAATGCTTTTTTTTAAAGTTAGCAATGTGGTCAAGCATTTTAAAGATTTCGCAAGGCTCAGGTTTAGAATGTGAAAAACATTGACATTTATTGTACAACCGGATCTGCCAAGCATAAAGCTAACGTTTTTGTCTAAAGCTACAGCCATACACTATATACGTAGTGGAAAAGTTGATCTTCACGTCATAACATAACCAACAACATTGTTTGGACTCACCAGTAAACAGATAGCTAATGCCAGAGTATTTTAGTAAATAATGATAGATAAATTAAATAATGCTTACTATTTATACTGAGTGTCTGTTGTCTTGTGTTTTACTAAGATAGCCATATGTGCACATGATTTGGTGTTTGACATAGTAAATCTAAAAGTTGCAAAAACGCCTGCAGATATTAAACGACAGATGAAAATCAGTATTAAAAGTTTTGGCACCATATCCAAAAATTTACACCATTGAGTAATTCGTATTATCATAGAATTCTTCTAGCTTACTACAGTATTCTTTAAATGTTTACATGTAAATTGAAATGTTTTAATAAAGTCGACTGCAAATCAAAGCAATTTTTTTCTACATTGGCAAAAAAAACAAAAGCATTTTTAATTAACGCTTGAGTGGAAAGAATTTTTAAATGTCCCCTTTTCTTACGTGAATGGCATGATAAAATGTGAAAATCAACATTTTAATGGTCTTAATTTATTAAGCAAGCCCGTTATTTAAGACAAAAAATAAATTTTCGCAAATTTTGTCACGAGAACCAAGAAAAAAATAATGTGGTTTATGTCATAGACATATAATACTAGTAAATTTACAACAACAAAACTAAACTTTACACCACAAACCTAACAATCACGATGCTATTATGCAATTCTCGCTATAAAAGCAGAATTCACAAACCACATAAATTTTCTAAACCACTCACCGTGTACTCAAACTTCTACATTCCTCATTTTGCTTAAGTACTTAAAGTATTAAAAACCTTTCGTTTCATCATTTAGCGCAAGAAGGGCATCTTGCCTTCAAAACCTGAACTGCTAACTGCGACGTAAGCAGCAAAGCCATGATCACGTGATTTTTTGCGGTTTACCGTTCGCCGTTAACGCCAAACAAAAACTTTCGATTGTCTGTTTAAAAGTTTTTTTTTCCATTTTCAAAAAAATTCATAAAGATAAACGAAATAAAACAAAAAGCGATGTTTGAAAATATCCCTTCGAGCAAGTGGATTGGATATTAGAAGTTTAAACAGTTGAAAGGCAAGAGGCGACCCAAAAATCAGATGTGACAAAAGAAACGTGTTGAGCCGTCACGAAGAAGTCACAGTAAATGTGAGCAATATGAAATTTGATGACCTGGAGATGAAATATTTTTTCATTCAGCATTAGCCAAATTAGAAGCACATTAAAAAGAAAACATAGAAACTTTGGAGGATTATAAGCTAATGTATCCAGCTTACACGGCGTTTACCTGATACTGTCACATTGACAGACTTGACAGTACTCAATTTTCTTCATGAGTTTAGCACAAATCCTTTGCACGATCTGCAGGGACGCCGGAACAAGGCTAATTGGGGGCTATATATTCATTTATGTGCGTTTTACTATTAGTTTCTTATGAAATCAATTGTGATTAGGGATTATAACGTATGAATATATGAATATCTGCCTCCTACCTTCATGTTCCGGCGTCGCTTATATGAGTACAAAAAAAGGGTATAAAAATCCTCTTATAACGTTTTAGCTTGCTTTGAAAAGGTTAAAGATTTATGATCTAATGGGAACTGCATCCTCTCTGTTTTTGCAAGGCAAACAAATCTATTGAGAGGTGTGTGACCTAAAATTACCTTGGGACACGGAATTGATTGGTAAATTGAAGCAGAGCTGGGAGAAGTGGGAAAACCTCTTACCAAGCAAAGTGAAAGTGCCAAGAGCGGTTCTATCATTCCAAGAACCCATCTGTAGCTTAGAGATTCATGGATTTGGGGATGCCAGCGGTGAAGGTTTGTGCGCAGTCGACTAAACGGTGGCTAAACAACCATCTGGAGTTACTCAGGAATTACATGCAGTGAAATCAACACTTGCCAAGAGAGGACTGACTATCCCGAGATTACAACTTGCTGCAAGTCATATGGCCGCAAATTCGGTCTCGAATGTATTGAGTCGATAGTAATACGTTCATATGTTAGATTTAGAGAAGATCTAAAGCGTTCAGTTAGCGTCATTTTGTTAGTGCGATGTATTGCTGAACAAAATTTGTTGTCATCTGATTGTTCTTCTGATCTGTTGTTCGACAAGGATTAGACGACACTTCGATACTATTGTTCAGTCGGGATTTGTCTAGGTGTTATGGAATGTTTTAGTCCGTAAGATAGTAGTCGAGTTTCAAAGAAATATTCACCAGTTATCGTCATAGTGCACGGTTTAGTTTATCGTGTTTTGTTGTTGTTTGATTTGTTGTTGTTGACACAACACCAAATCAACGAGCAAACAAGACAGAGACACAACACCAAATCAAACAACAACAAAAACTTGAACGTTTAAAACAAACTAAAACACGTGCGAGACATAAACATGACGATAACTGGGTGAGGAATATTTCTTCCCGCCCATTAGACGAAACTGAAACGCGACTACTATCTTACGGACTAAAACATTCCATAACACCTAGACAAATCCCGACTGAGACAATAGTATCAAGTGTCGAGGCTGTCCTAGCGTATCAAAGAGACTTGTCAGAGACAACAAAAGACGAGATCAGAAGCAGGATAGCCTCCACTTTACAATCGTCCTCTATACATGACAACAACTTGACAAAAGACGAACAACAAGCACTCAAACGACTAAAACACGACAACAACATCGTCATTTTACCAGCAGACAAAGGACGCGTGACTGTGGTCATGGACAGGAATGATTACTTTAACAAAATGGACGCACTTGTTAACGACAGACAAACGTACGAACAACTCAAACGAGACCCAACACCATCACTAGTACGCAAACTTAACAGCAAGATCTTCTCTATGAGAAAATCTAACATTATATCTGAACGTATTTACTATCGACTCAGATGTTCAGTACCACGACCACCCAGACTATACGGACTACCAAAACTTCACAAACCACAAATACCCATGCGACCAATTGTATCATTCTGTGGTTCGCCTACTTACGAACTTTCAAAGTACTTGACTAACATACTGCAACCACTCACAAACAAATCAAAACACAAGCTACAATCCACTGAAACTTTCATTAAAAAACTGTGCACTATACAAATACCAGACAACTATATACTAGTGTCTTTTGATGTGAAATCACTGTTCACCAGTATTCCACTTAATCTGGCACTTACTTGTACAAAAACCCTCATTACAAACACCACGGACGTACTGCCATTACCGACAGAAGACATTATGGAGTTACTAGAGCTCTGCCTCACCTCGACTTACTTCCAATACAAAGGAACACACTACAAACAATTACATGGGACAGCAATGGGCTCGCCCGTTTCTGTTGTAGTTGCTGAAATTGTAATGCAATCTATAGAGGAACGGGCACTCATGACTTACAAACATGCACTACCTTTTTGGTTTCGCTACGTAGATGACACAATCACAGCACTACATGCAGACGAGATTGATGACTTCCATACTCACATCAACAAACAGAACAGCCACATACAATTTACCAAAGATGTCGAAGAAAACGGAACTCTTCCTTTTCTCGACTGTTTGGTAAAACATGACAATCAAAACTAGGAACAACAGTTTATCGCAAGCCAACACATACTGACCGACTACTAGACCAATCATCTTACAACCCTACATCACACAAAGCCACCACAATCAGAACATTAACAAGACGTGCACAAATCATATGTGATTCACCGGACGCTCTACAAAACGAAAACAACTATCTCAAACGTGTTTTGACAAAACAACTATAACTCTGACTTTATCAAACGCAACACTTACAAACCCAACGAACCCAACGAAACGAACAACTCAGTGACAACAGCAACGATACCTTACATCAAAGGTACGTCTGAGACTATCTCGCGTATCTTACGACCATACAACATACGTGTCGCACATAAACCAATCACAACATTACGACAAGTACTAACGAACATAAAGGACAAAGAACAACCCAACGAACGACAAGGTGCAGTTTACAAAAT